CTGGCCGGGAAATGGTGAGGACAGGATGGGGTAGGATGTGCTCTGTCTCCTCATTGCCTTTTTTGGGGAAGAGATTTCCTTCCCTTGCCCCTTGCCTCTGCAGCCCTGTCAGCCAGGCATTTTGGTGACCAGAGACCCTTTACCAACACAACCTCCGCCTCTGTCCTCACCCTCACTCCACATCTGCCAGCAATTTTTGTGGGTGAGGAAGTGTGAGGAGTAGGAAACAGGGGCTTCCCAAAGTGGGAGATAGGTCCCCCCGTCAGTGCGTTGTTCTAGGATTGCTGAGTCTTGCATGGCTTGCACACACAGCTTCCTCTTTCTGGAAAAGGAAGGCAGGGGGTTGTGTTTCAGCATATGTCTTTAGCTGTAGGAGAAGACAGATCAAAGAAGTGAGATAAAACATGTAATAACAAGAAGCACAGTGATGCTTCTCATTCTCATGGCGATTTCCTTTTCACAAGCTGAAAGCCCAGTTAACCAATTATATCCTAGTTTCCTAATGGTACAAGGAGGTGCATCTTTCTGTCTGACTTACTGTGGTCTGCCCCTCTGGCTTTCTCTCTCCAGGTGGTATAGGTGGCATCATCAGTCCTCCATGGATACCACTTTTATCTTGTCATTTCATGCTCCCTGGTTCCTATCCTATCAATTCCAAGCATCCTTATCTGGCTTCCAAGGAGAGCCCATCCACTCCACCCATCACTTATCCTCTACTCTTTTCATGCTGGCCATCTCTCTATCTCCTAAAGTATCGCTGACATTGACTCCTCTGGGCTTTTGCTCATGTGGTTCCCTTGCTTGGCAAAACTTTCCTTCTTACTGACGTAAAAGAGGTCCCAAGTTGCGTTTTCTCTAAAGTCTCTTTGGTACTACTTTAGCCCTTATTGCTCATCAATTCCTTTGAACTCCTCGATTTCTTACAGACACAGGATGCCTTAATTCAATACTATTTTCTTCTATTATTTTGGGATATTTGACTCTGGTTTGACAATAAGATGGCTCTTTCTTTAAGTACAGAGGTTTGCCCCTCTAAGAGCCCAGAACTGTGACCCCATACACCCATTAGACTCTGAATTGGCATTTGCCTGGTGGACTCCCATGTATCCTTCAGAACTCAGGTTGAATTTCAGTTCCTGAGGGCAGCCTTCTCCAAAAGATCCCAATATCTCACTGTGGATTCTCATAGAATCATGTATTTCTCCTGGATACACTATTCAAATATAGATTTTTTCTATTTATTCTATTTTATTACTCAGAGTGGATATTTTTAGCTTAGTATCTGCATTCCGCATTGTAGTACCTGGGTTTGATACTGGACTCTGGCTACTGGTTCTAGCTTTCTGTTAAGGCAGACCTTGGGGGGCAATAGTGATGACTCAAGTAATTGAATTCCTACCATCCATGTGGGAGACCTGGTTTGAGTTCTTGGCTTCTAGCTTTGACCTCAGCTCTGCCCTGGCCATTGTGGGCATTTGGGGAGTGAATTAGCACATGGGAACTTGTTCTCCTTGTCCTCTCTCTGTCTCTCTCTCCCCCTTTCTGCTCTCAAATTTAGCAAAAAATTAATAATAATAATAAAAAATTACTGCCCTTTTAGAGGCACACAAATATCTCCATGAGAACTGGAACAATAGCTGGTTTTTCTAATGCCTAAGGAAGTATCTGGATATGTAGTAGGCCCTGTGTACATATTTATTAAGTAGTTAATGCATCTATGTTGGCTGACTTGGAATGTGACAGGGGCTTCTTGGGGGAATTAAGAGGATAGAATTGAAAATGTTGATCTCCTGAGTGCACAATGCTAAACAGAATCTCAGGGTAGAGGTTCGGGTGGGCCAAATCAGCAACATCAATTGTAGGGTCATTAGTGACAATGAGAGACCTTGTACCTTCTCAATGATTTTATGAGCAAGCCATAACAGTAGTACATTCTTGGTGTGGAGAATATATAAAGGTTAGAAAACTATAAGGAAACAGAGAGAAGTAATTATAAGCACACCACCCGAAAACTTCTTAAAAATTGATATTTTCTTTCACTATTCATTCAGCCCATGTTTTTGATGGTGAAGAAATCCTACTGGCTACATAAGTTTAGATCTTGTCTCTTTAAAAAGCACTTAACATTGAATGGTAAACATATATCCTCTTTTTTGAAAACTTTGTGAATCATAATTTTACATAGATCCATGATATTCTGATGTATATAGATATATTCTATTCCCCCAATACAGAACATAAAAGTTAATAAATATGAGGGCAGAGGTTTGCATTCCAATACTCCGATATGGTGACCTTATACCCCTGTGAGAAATAACCTCACCCACACTTAAAGGATGGCCTTGGGTTCAGGATGTGCAGCAAAAGTGAGAGTTTATCAACCATCTTGCAAGATCGGATGTTTGGTAGGTAGGCAAGTGCATCTGGTGCTGTTTCATCAAGAAGTGCATTCCCTATTACACAGGTCTCTCCCCAGTTCCTAACTGGCTCAATACTAATGGGTTACAATCTCTTTAGCCATTTTGGACACTCCTGATGCCCTGCTTGTCTAAGAGGTTTCCAGGTGCCTATAACCTAGTTTTATACTAGCTAACTACTTGGAACTTTCCACACATTGGAAGCCATTAGGCTAGCTCACTGTCTCCTCACAGCTCAACACCTTACTTTGAAAATGAGCCCAATATCTTTACTTCTTGCACCCTCATTAGAAGCCCAGTTATCATTTGCCTGCTTAACTCCTACATGCTTCATTCTTTAGACTGAACTTTATTTCCTGAGGACTCCCTACCGGGTTTGTTCCAAATCTCTTACTATAGATTCTCATTGAACCATACCTTTTCTCTTGATTTTGAAAACATTCTAAAATCTAGAGACAATGAAGATAAATGGGATATGATAGATTTTCCCAGCTGTTTTAATGGAACTAGGCTTCTGGAGAACCAATCTAAGACACACTACCCCTTCTCAATTACAAATTCTAGTATTTTTCAGCTTAGAATTTCCCTTATTTTGATTAAAGTAGGCGCAAACAATCTAAATAATCTAACATATATTTTACAGAACAGAGTAAAAATGCAAAAATGCAAAACTATACCAGCTTGATGACTTGATTTTCATGAGAACTTCTAATAGGGATGCTCCTGAAAGGGAATAAATTGTAAGAAAGCTCTGGTCTCTTTAGGGATGACTTTGAATTGTTCTTTTTTTATCCAGTCTGTTGTCCTCTTTTCTGTCTTAATCTATTTCCTCTGCAGTAGAAGGCATCCTTGGCTCAGATATTTTTGCTATCAACCACAATTAGGTTTCCAGACATACCCATAGGCATTGGTGTGATGCTAAGCATATTATAAAGCAAGTTCACATTCATTTTATTTAATTAATTGTTACTAGTTATAACAGGCCTCGTGTTATGCTGCACATTTACTAAATTCTACAGGAGATTCTGCAGGGACCAAGAAGCTGTCCTTTTAGGGAAGATAAAGCACATTACAGAGCTGGACTCATGCAGCGATGGATGTGATGTGTCAATTAAGGGGCACACATAGACCAGAAACAAACAAGCAAACAACTCTAGGAAATCAGAGAGTCATGGTTCATTGTGGCTGGATTTTCATGCAAGAGGCTAAGAATGGTAGGGGAGTTCTATTTTTTAACAGGTCAGGGCAGAGTGAGGAGTTAACTTAAGCTTCCCCCATCTCAGTTCCTAGGGAACATGTATTTTATGTTAGAGGAAAGACTAGTACTTGCTTCCCCTACCCCTGAAACTCTAAACCTTTAGAATTTTATTTTCTTTCAGTTTTTCCAATAGTCAATGAGAAAATGATATCATATTTTTGATTCAGTTAGATTGGCCCGGACTCAATCTGTAAAAATAGGTGTATCAGGTAGGAATCCATTTAATTTTCCTTATCAGAACACCCATCTAACAGGGGCTTAAGGAAAACATATCCTAATTGCTAAAACAAGGAACAGAGATAGTAGGTACTTATTTACTGCTGTTTAGCTACTCAGTGACATCATCAAAGAGCCAGACATTTTCCCTCTTCCAACTCTGCCCATCTTATGCGTTTGGCTTTTTTTTTTTTATCAGAGAGGCTTATACATATTTTATTTTTTTACCTTTTATTTAATAAATATAAATTTCCAAAGCACAACTTTTGGATTATAGTGGCTTTCCCCCCCCATAATCACCCTCCCACCTGCAACCATCCCATCTCCCACTCCCTCTCCCTCCCATTCTTCATCAAGATTCATTTTCAATTATCTTTATATACAGAAGATCAATTTAGCATATATAAGTAAAGATTTCAACAGTTTGCACCCACACAGAAACATGAAGTATAAAGTACTGTTTGAGTACTAGTTATACCGTTACTTCACATTGTACAACACATTAAGGACAGAGATCCTACATGGGGAGTAAGTGCACAGTGACTCCTGTTGTTAATTTAACAATTGACACTCTTATTTATGACGTCAGTAATCACCCTAGGCTCTTGTCATGAGCGGGCAAGGCCTCGTGAGTTGGCCAACTCTGATCTTATTTAGACAAGGCTATAGTCAAAGTGGAAGTTCTCTCTTCCCTTCAGAGAAAGGTACTGCCTTCTTTGATGGCCTGTTCTTTCTGCTGGGATCTCACTCACAGAGATCTTTCATTTAGGTCATTTTTTTTTTTTTTGGCATTTGGCTTTTTAACTTCCTGTTGCAGCATGGTTGCATTGGGTGTAGGCATCATGACTGCCTTCAAAGTATAAAGTGAGAAGGGCAGTTGTAGATGTCCTTTTTCTTCTTACCAAGACTGCCAACATTTTCTCAAGAGTCTTCTGCCAAGCCACACTTACATGTCATGTTAGAACTGGATAATATGCTCATCCCTAGCTCTAAGAAATCTAAGGAACTTGAGCATTTCATTTTTTAGTTTCTATAGTTATAGAAACAATAAGAGCTGGGATAGGTAGTGGCTGCAATGAAGTTCCTACAAATTCTATCTTCTCTTTCAGGAAACTTTACCTGCTGTGATGAAGGCATTCTGAGCTTTGTTGTCTCTTAGTTGACACCTGGTGTATTATTAGTTGACCATTACCACAACCACACTGTTGAAGAAATTGCTCCACCTCTCAATGGTGTGTCACAGTAAGTATTTAATATCATACTCGCAGGTTTTCTGACTGCCCTGGGTGTTCCCTACATCTTTAATTTTTTCTCTAACAGAAGCATGTAAAATATTCAGATTTGGGATTTGGAAAATTCAAAGCACAGTGAGATTAAATAACTTTCTCATGGTTTAGTAGGTTAAAAATGCTATGGATTCCCACATGACTATTGGGGAAAGGAGAAGAGACACTTGGCAGATAATACAATTTTCTTCATGAAATACAAACTCTGAGTAAACACAACCATTTTGAAGGAGTCAAGTAGTGGCGTCTTTGAGAAGTCTTCATTTGACATAGAAGGGCTTCTTATTGTCCAGCAACCATTTTCTCTCCTCTCAACTGTAGCAATCTGATTTGCCCTGGTAAAGATGCTTGTCCTAATTTATTCTGTGTGATTTCAGTGTCCAGAGCCAACCTTCCATCTGCAAGCCTGGGAAATTGGTAAGGTCTGGGATTAGCTGGGGAATGAACATATGACCAAAGCAGAGGCCATTGAGAATTTTTTGGCCAGGGATTTTAAAAAAGAAGCAGAGTTTTATGATAGAAATGTTAACAACAAGACATATGGTGGGTTGGCTAGTGGCCATCTTCTCATTGGCAAAGAATCTCTAGGTCAGGAATACTGAGAGATTAAGAAAAATAAATAAACTTCTAGTGATATTTGAGCCCTTGGATTTAGTCTTGGCTGAACTTCTCATTAGAAAGCATGAAGACTTTGCTTACTTACTTGAGTCAATAGAGAACTTTCTTTGTCAAAGCCAGTGTGACTCATGATTCTGTCATTTGCAGCAAAGACTGTCTTCTGCTGTCTCAGAAGCCTCCAGTCTTCATGTCCCAGATAGTGGACACTTAGGCTGATTTCCCTTCTCTAAAATTTCCATCAACAGCCTCCTATGCTTGCATGGAGTTTCCCTCCTTCTCTAACCTTGGTCCCTCCTTTATTGATACCAATGACAAGAACACCTCTGCTTTTCATTGCTTTGAAGACTTTATTTATTTATTTGAAAGGCAAAGTTATATAGAGAGAGGCAGAGAGAGACAGGGAGAGAGGTCAGTCTTCTACCTGCTGTTTTGATCTCTCTCTCTTTCTGTTGGTTCACTCCCCAGATGGCTGCAACAGCCAAGGCTGGGCCAGGCTGAAGCCAGGTGTCTGAAATTCATCCAGGTCTTCCACATGAGTGCAGGTTCCCAATGTCTTGGGTCATCTTTCTCTGCTTTCCCAGGTGTATTATCAGGGAACCAGATTGGAAGTGGAGCAGTTGGAGCTTGAACTGGAGTCCATATGGGATGATGGTGTTGTAGGCAGCAGCTTAACCTGCTGCATACTGCCCTGATGCTTTTCATTTAAAGGTTTCTAAGTAGCCATTATTGTAAGCAAGAGTGTTAAGCAAGAGGCAGGGACCAGAATCTGCACATTGAATGTGGAACAGTTTATGCTCTCCATCTTGCTTTTCAGAGGGTATTCCAGACACACTTGTCTTGCAACATTGTTCTCAGAGGGGACCAGGTCGCCAAGGAAAAGCTGCAAGAGAGCAGTGGGAGTCAGGTTTCTGAATGAAGATGTGTGTTACTTGAGCAGGAAGGGTCCTTCCACTCCTTTTCTATGTCCTTGGTACTTCCTTAACCCTTCTCATGAAAGCCCTGGGAAACTGCTTGATGGGAGGCAGTTTCTTCAGGGAGCTGGCCCTGTCCTCTGCCTCCTCTACTTATCACATGCAAAGCTTTCATCTCAAACTCCTATGAGGCTGAATATTCGATAATATCCTAAGCAAATGGACCCTTTGTGTCCTCTAATATTATGAGAAAATAGGTCACATCGGATATTAGTATGAAAAATGATAAAGATGAAAAAAGATCAGGTTTTTAAAGTCATGGCCTCAGATGTAGTGTGGTGGTGTTCACTGCTTCCATAGCTATGAGCCACAGGTATCTACTGAGCATGTAAAATGTGACAACTGTGACTGAGAAACTGAACCATAAACTTAATTTTGGTTAAAAATTAATTTAAAAACATATTCAACTCAATTTTTGAAAAACATTTTTAAAAGATTTATTTATTTATTCATTTGAAAGGCAGAGTTACAGAGAGGCAGAGAGAGAGAGAGAGGTCTTCCATCTGCTGGCTCACTCTAAAAATGGCTGCAATGGCCAGAGCTATGCCAATCTAAAGCCTGGAGCCTAGAGCTTCTTCTGGGTCTCCAGTGTAGGTGCAGAGGCCCAAGGACTTGAGCCATCTTCTACTGCTTTCCTAGGCCATAGCAGAGAGCTGGATGGGAAGTAGAGCAGCTGGGAATTGAACCAGTGCCCATATGGGATTCTGGCACTTCAGTGGCAGCTTTACCCGCTATGCCACAGCACCAGCCCCCAATGCTTGGAACAACTCAAATATTTCAATTTCCCGTATCAACTCTAAGTTTTATGAGATCTAAATACAGATAAAGTATTTCTGATAAGTTTTGATATCGGAATTGAGAAATGGTGTAAGCATAAAAATATACATCAGATTTCAAAGAGTAAAATTATAAAACAAAATACTTTAATTAATTTGAATATTGATTATATGTTGAAGTGTTTTTGATGTATCAATTAAATAACATATATCCTTGAAATTAATTTCATCTGTTTCTGTCCACTATTCACAGCCTCACTCCATGGGACACAGCCTTTGAGGAGAGACTAACTTTATTATTAACAAATAATAGCGAATCAAGTAAGGAGGCAGGAGAATATGTCTCAGATTTACCTACCGTATTGGAGTTTGGGGGGATGGCTCTATAGATTAGGCAGCAGAAAGATGATATGTGGAAATATCCAGTGAAGCAGATGTTGACTAGAAAGGATTGGAATCAGACCAGCACGGTGAGGTGGACTTTTATTTCCAGATTTCTGTGCTTGAGGGAACTCTCACTTCTGAAAGTATGTTACCTTCTCAGAATTGTATCTATGAAATTCACAAAGTCTGTTCTCTTTATCATAATTAAAGAGAAAAGGTTCTGATGTAACCAAGTTCAGGTGTCGTGCTGGCTTCTCTGGATCTGGCAATGAGATTTTCCTTGTTTTTCATGGGCTTAGGTTGCATAACATAGAGTGAGGTGCCAGTGAGCTGTGGCCTGACCCAAGTCACTCCATTTTGTCCCTGGGTGTCCTCTATATTTTTTTTCTAACAGCTGCTACCTACTAATAAACTAATCTTATAAGAATGTTATCTGCAAGGTTTGTTTACATGCAGTGCTGGAAAACCCCCAAGATAAGCATAACCCTGCTTGCGCTAGCTTCTGTAACAAAGCTTGGCTTTGTAATTAACTTATAACAAGATGTGGTTTTTGCCTTTATAAACTTACCCATGAGCTCAATCAGGGCTGCAAGATTTGGAGAGCACATGCCACCATGCAGCTGTAATCCAGCCCTGAGACTTTGGCATCTTCTGTAACTCGATGTTCCAAATATAACAATAGTTCTTTGCAATGGGCTCCCTCTGCACATGTGTGACCATGGGTTCAAGCCTTGAATCCTCTTCTGATCCAGCTTTCTGTTAATGTGCACCCTGGGAGGGAGCAGGTGATCACTAGAGACCTTTTTTTTTTTTTTTAAGATTTATTTATTTATTTGAAAGTCAGAGTTACACAGAGAGAGGAGAGGGAGAGGGAGAGGGGGAGGGGGAGGGAGAGGGGGAGGGAGAGGGGGAGGGAGAAGGATGTCTTCCATCCACTGGTTCACTCCCCAATTGGCCACAACGGCCAGAGCTGCGCCAATCCGAAGCCAGGAGCCAGGAGCTTCTTCTGTGTCTCCCACACAGGTGCAGGGGTCCAAGGACTTGAGCCATCTTCTATTGCTTTCCCAGGCCATAGCAGAGAGCTGGATGGGAAGTGGAACAGCTGGGTCTCAAGCCGGCACCCATATGGGATGCCGGCACTTCAGGCCAGGGTGTTAACCCACTGCGCCGCAGCACCGACCCCATCACTAGAGTTCTCGAGTCCCTGCCATCCCTCTGGAACTTGAATTGAGTTCTGTGCTCCTGGCTTCAGCCTGACCCAGTCTTGGCTGTGGCTGGCATTTAGGGGAGTGAACCAGTGGATGAAAGATCTCTTTCTCTCTGTGTGTCTCTGCTTCTCAAACAAAATGAAAATAAACGTCATTTTTTTTTAAACGAAGAGACCTAAAATATGATCAGACCCATTGCTAAGGCATAAGACAGAGGAATTCCTGGGAAAAGAATGGGAAAGCATCACAGATTTTTATGCCTGGGGCATCAATGGGAAGGCTGGCAAAAGGACAGTCCAGTATAATGTCCATTTACTTCTTCAAGTACTGCTTATACTATGTTTCTGTTGGACAGTGGTAGCACTGATCTACAGTGTGTTTCTAATCTGTGATTTGAGGACCCTCCTTCTATTCTGGAGGTAAAATTCTCCATGCCTAAGGCCATGCTTTGTTCAAAGTGTTTGGGATTTGAGCTTTCACTCTGGAAACACCTTGAAGAAATGAGTCAGCAACCTTCTGTTCATTTTCCTTACAAACATCTGGCACAATCTAATTAAATAGCTTTTGTCATTTTTATGTCATTATTTGATGAATGAAAAACTCTTGCTCATTCTGCTGTTCTTCGTGATACATTTTTAGTTCAAGGATACAAAGCATGAGTTTCTAAAAACTAAAGGTGAGAATGTTCTATTTAATGCAAAATGAAAGATGTTGCTATAAATCTTTCCACCTTGCATTTTTGTTGCTTTTTTGTCAATTTTGCACTCACATATATATGATATTTTTGTTGAAGTAGCCTGAAAACCCTGGAAACCCACTTTGTTTCATTTCTCCTACTTTCAGAGGTCATGAAACTTCCTTTTATTACTTTCTGCTCAGAAGCCTGAAAATATTGTTATAGCAGAATGACAATGAGGACTAGTGTCTACCTTTGTACTCGAGCCTTAGGAAGCTGCCAAACATGGGATTCTAGGCAGAATGAGCCCTTACTCCCAAGGT